CCCCCCCCCCCCCCCCCCCCCCCCCCGCCCCATGTCGCGCTGACACACATCAGCTCGAGTCTGGAATGTGAGATCAAGGCGTGTGCGCCGCTTGGTGGGTTTGGTCCCCGCCCCCTCCCCTTCCAAGTAAACAAGGTTTGTGTGATGCGGTGATTCTAAATAGAAAGCAAACCGAAACCCCTAAAGTCTGCCAGTGACGCTCTGCCGGAGACATTTTTAACGAACTTGGCGGTCTGCAGCCAGCCCATACATTGATATGCAAGGCCACGGCGCTGGTGGGTTCTGCGATCTCTGTTTTGTTTTTGCAGCCAGCGAAGGCTCTGCCCGGCTCTTTGGCCCAGCCAGTTTGCTTCTGCCGGGAGGGGAAGGCTCCGCGGGACCCGGGGCCCTGCCGCAGTGGCCCGGAGGCGCCCGCTCCAGAAAACCACCTGGGCTGTCCGAGGCCAGGGAGATGGCACCAGTGGTCGACTCCCTGCCTCTTGACCAAAGATGCCATCAGTTAAAGAAAAGACACTGGATTTTGGAAGACTCAGCTCAAGGGGCGCTTGGAGCACCAAGCCCAGCCTCTCAGGAAACGGGTCCAAGGGACAGAAAAAAAAAAATCTTTGTCTTCAACCCCACAGCCTTTTGCCTGCTCATGTCCCCCATGGCCACGGTCCAGCATCCTCGTGCTCAGAGCAGCCAGAAGTGAAGCTGAGAATGTTTCCTAAGTGCTGCAGGGTGGTGGCCCTCGGCAGAGGGGGGCTTCCTTTCTCCTCTTTCCTCTGGTTCTGAAAATCTGATCTGTATTGCCCGAGGCTTCATCACACCCCCCAGAAACTATAGCCTGCCCTGAGGTCATAAACTTGTGCTCAGCGTCCATGGCAGCTAATGCAGAGGTCACAATCAGAAGATTATAACTGCAGATGAGAAGCTGGACGAGAGGGGGGTTCTTCAAAACTGTGTCTTGTTTTCCTGCAAATAAATGCCCCTTACATAAAATCTACGAAGAAAGATTGATGCAGGAGACCAGCCTCAGGATCTCAGACGGCATTGCTCTCTCCATATAGACTCCACTTGGTGACTTGTGTTCATTATTATTTTTTTAAACAAAACCCTTTTTTCTGAAAATACAATGAGCTGCTTTTTGCAGGGTTCACAATTCCCAATAGATGATGATGCCATTTTTCAAGGTCTTATACACGTTGTGGCTTTGTGGCTTATTTATGAGCTCCCAAGAAAAGCCTGCCTTTCAGTGAAGTTTATATACTCAAGTAATTGCATCAGGGGACACAGTGCAGGGTGCTATTAAAGAGGGTTAGTTGTACAGGGAGGCCCTGGGCCAGGCAGCTGTCAGACCAGAGTGTGCAATGGGCTTAAACAAACACAGGGAAGGTTCTATGGAAACACGGAGGAGGAAATCCCCTCCTGTAAGGCTGTGTGGAACATTATTCCTCGCCACACATACCTCGATCTTTCCTCTCCTCCCTCCAAGTAAACACATGACCCCGTTATGGAGATGGCGCCGGGCCCACCCGGATCCCTTTCAAATTCAGGTGTCAGAAATCACGGCTGACACGGAGCAAATTGTTTTTAAGTAAAATCTCGGTACCACTTTGATACTAATTCCACCAGGGACTTTCCAAAGGTATTTATGCACGTGCCTGAGATTAACTGGAGGGCAGTTTTCGCCCTTAACGTTCATTTCACAAAATTACCCAAGAATTGCACTTCACCTGTTACTCTGGAGGGTTGAGAGAACACCCAAATGCCAGATGTGTGCGAATGAGCAGATGGATAGACCGTTGGACGTGTGAGAGAGGTTGGGGCCCACATGACACCGGCAGCTAATGGGTGGATGAATGAAGATCATTTAAGAAAACAAATATCCCCTCCTCCATGTGCACACCCCTCCATAATTCTGGAGTTAAATTGCCCTGGTTCAAACCATACCTCATCTGACCCCCAACTAGCGGAGTGCCTGTCACTTTCCGCGCCTCAGTTGGGACTGATGATAGCACCTGCTAGTGGTCAGTCGAATTACTGATCCCATGGGGGTATCAGACTTCCACACCCTTGTCACAGCCTCAAAGAGCATGCAGTATTTTTCCCCATTCCTTGATTTCGGACTCGGCCATATGCCTTGCTTTAGACGATGAGATTTTAGGGAAGGTTACTGAATGAGAAGATTGAAACATGTTGCGGGGCTGAGCTTGCTCTCTTGTGCTCTGGTGGCTCATAATGAGAAGATATCACAAGAAGCTGCAGCCTCTTGCCTCACGGCTCCAGAATGAACACACAGGGAGCAGACCTGAACTCACCCACCTACAGCCGGTCACCGCACCGGCTCAGCCAACCTACACACACATGAGCAAGGGCGGGAAATGCTCGTTGTAAGCCACCGAATGCCAGAGGTTGTTACGTAGCCGACTGATACATTCCCTCGGTGGGCTTGTGTGAAGATTCATGACCAAATGTTTGTAAAACACGAAGCACAATTCTCGGGACACCGTAAGAGCTCAGAAATATTTGCTGTGATTAGCTATCAACATTATTGAAAGCTAATTTCGTGCGTAACAATCACATAACTTTTTTAACTGATAAATTCAATCGGTGAACAAGTATTGCTCGAATAAAGATTCTATATACAAGACAGTGCAAGGGCATAGGGAACTGGAAGGCCAGGGACCTGCCATGGTGACCAAGTCACATTCATTCACTCCCTCATCCATTCAGCAGCCATCCCGTGAACACCTGCTCTTTGCCACACACTGGAGTGAATGCTGGAGCCGCTAAGTTGGCTAAGTCTCCATCCCCTCCCCGGGATGGGGACCTATGGAGCCCCACCGTGTGATAAGCACTCTGCTAAGCACATTCCCATGCTATATCATTTGACCCTCACAACAGCCTCGTGAGCCAAGTGGGAGCCAACATTACTTATCCTCTTTTCTCAGGCAAGGAGACAGAGGCTCAGAAACCAAACAACATAGGAAAAGAACCAAAATCTCCTCCTCTACCATTCGTGTGAGCTAACGCCGATGAATTCAAGTTAATGGAAGGCACGCCTGATGGGAAAGTGAAGTGAGAACCAAGTAGAGGGGTGAATGCAGCTCGGGCCGGTCTCCATGCCAGGGATGTGCTAAGCCCTTGGGAAATACCGAGGCTCAGAAGACCCAGCTCCTGCTCCTGACACCAGCTGTCTGTGGGACCTGGAGCCCTTCTCTGGCCTTCAGTGTCTCCAACTGGAGGGAGAAGGACCTTGAAAACTAGAGCCTGGCATTTTCCAGAGCTATGAATTCAAAAGGAATTGCTGTGGGAAGTCCCTTGCCCTGGGGACTAAGGGGTGAGAATCACAGTTCTGGGAACTGGCCCAGGGATTTGAAAGTGGGGACAGCGGGCTACTCGGAGGAAGGGAGACAAGGCCAGGCCTTGAGCACTGCTCATGATAGGCCCCAGCTCAACAACAGCAACCTTGCCATTGATCATTCCACCTTTAGAGCACTGAAGACGGGAGCACGTGGGGTCTTCCAAGTGCGTCCTCCTAGAATGCAAAAGCCCCTGAAAGAGAAACCATCTTAGATGCCTGAGGCCCTAGTTATCAGCTAATGCCTCCTTTTTCAATTAGCACTTCAGCAGAGCCGGGGATGAAGTTTCAATTCACTTTCACCTTGTTCCCACATTTGAGGTGGTTTCCAAGGGGACTGCGGGGGTGGAGGGCTGCTGGGAGTCGCTTGTGTGGGGAGGGGCTGCACCTGGGTGTGAGGGGCCCGTGGGGACCAGTGCACAGATTCTCGAATGTGTTTCAGGGGCTCTGCCACCAGCAACGACCTGCCTCCAGCCCTGTGACTTTGACAAATTTAGCCTGCTCGGTAACCTGAAGTGCATTTCAATTTCATAAATTTAGAAATGCTCTGGTTAGATCCCTTCTGCAGTAATGCATCCATTAAGTGCACTTTATGCCAATTTTGGTATGCTAATCCATCACAAATCGACGTGAAATTTAGGTTCTTGTGAAAATTTCCTACACCCGATCCGAAACCTCTACCGGATTTAGGGTAATAACAAATTGCGGTTCCTTAAAGCTGCAGACTTAGGTCTACATCGAAACTTGCCTAAAGAGAGGAACAGGACCAGTTTGAAACAAACATCAGAACATGTGTATGCATCTGAGAGCTGCCCACTTTCCCCCTCCCCCCACCCCGGGGGGTGGGACATCTTCCTTACTCCTAAAATGCTGCCACAGCCCGTAGGCATTACAGCTCTATCTCAGAGTTCCCACCTGAGAAGTCTGCTCTGGAGGGCTGTAAGTCCTGGGAGGGCAGGAACAAGGTCCTGTGAAGTGTCAGCATTCCCAGCCCGCAGCTCAGAGCCTGGCCTGCAGACACGCCCAGCAAATATCTGGTGAATGACCCAGCTGGAATCTCCTGGCTTGGTTAGTGCCTTGTCCCCCAGATTTAACTTCCCATGATTTGCCCTATTTCCTAGAATCAGACGTCTTCCCCACCAATGAAGGCTGGAGATCCTAAAAGAACAGGCAGAAACCTCTGGAGGGAAATCAGCTGAGGACCCCAGGTGATTTGGGCGACAACAGCACCATGGGAAGAACCTCTTCATTCTGCGGTATCTGAGGCCAGGAGTGAATGTAGGGCCAGTAATTGGCAATACAAAGAACGTGCGCGTGATGAAAGAGATATAATGTCATTGCCATCACCGCCTGAGACTCTGTTGCTACCAGTTGTTGAAGGGCAGTGCCTATTAACTAGATGTTTTTAGCTGCATAATAGACGTTTTGCCAATAAGGTGAAAGTTTATAGCCTGTAGCATTTTCACCTGCTTCTGTCATAAGATCTACAATCCACCCAACAGCAAAAATGAGCTGTTGACTTGGTAAATGTAGAGCAGCATCGCCTGCCCTAGATGTGAAATACCTGAGCCTTCTAAATACATTTCATTTTCCTGGCTGAGCATTTAATGCAGTCAAATGTTACAAAGCAGTGCTGGGGAGGATAATGGGAATGACACCCACACGCAGAGGCGCTGAGCGGCTGTTCGTGATCTGCACTCCCTCCCTGCCCAGCTTCGCTCCTGGGTCCAACCCAGACCCGCTTCACGATCTGCAACAGCCATCTCTGTGAATGTCCCCACCACACCTCCCCAGGTGCCTGATATAGAAGCCCCCGTATCATCCTTAGCTCTTTTACTTCCAGTTAGCCACCATCCCCTTCCCGAGCCTGGCTCACCTTAGAGGCCTGGGAGGTTTTAAAAAAATTCAGATTCCTGGGGCGCCTGGGTGGCTCAGCCGGTTAAGGGTCCGACTAGTGATTTCGGCTCAGGTCATGATCTCATGGATGGTGGGATCAAGCTGTGCATCAGGCTCCGTGCTCAGTAGGGAGTCTGCTTGCTATGCGCTCCCTCTGCCCCTCCCCCCACTCATGGGCACGCACTCTTTTTCTCTGTCCCTCTCAAATCAATCAATCAATCAATCAATCAATCTTTTTAAAATTCAGATTCCTGGGCTTCAATACCAGAGACTCCATTTCCCTAGGTCTAGGGTGGGACCCAGGAAGCTGAATCTCTGGCGTGGTGCCTAGGCATCTGTAGAGTTAACAAGCTCCCCCCCCCCCCCCCCTTGAAGTTTCAGAACTGCTAGTTTGGACCCATTTCATCTCTCCCTTGGGACCGCTGCAGTGGCCCCTAGCTACTTTCCCTGCCTCCTCTCCTTGACCTTCAGTAACTGGTTCTTTCTACATATGCAGCCAGGTTATTTCCGACACACAAATCTGATCAGGCCCACCCCATAATTAAATATCTGTGATGCCTCCATGGCACCTGCAAAGAGGTTCATGTCCACATTGCCAGACAGGGTCCAAGGCCATGCCACTATAGTCCTGCCTCTTCTCTGGGCCCACCTCCCTCCCTGGCTCTTGCACATTCGTGCTCCATAACACTGCTTCCGAAAGTGGCTTCCCATGGACAACAGACATGGGGGCTCTGTGACGCCGGCATCACAGAACATCGGTGATCATTTCTAGGGACTATCTGCTCTTCGGTGGAAACTAGAGAAAAGGCGGCTCCTTAGAAGTTGCTTTGATGACGTTAAAACCCAGTGTGTCTCGTCAGTAAATGGTGTTGGGAAAACTGCTGAGCCACATGCAAAAGAATGAAACTAGACCACTACCTTACACTCTACCCAAAAATAAACTCAAAATGGATTACAGACTTGAGTAGAAGACCTGAAACCATAAAATTTCCAGAAGAAAATAAAGATGGTAAGCTCCTTAACACTGGTCTTGGTGATGACCTTTTGGATCTGACTCCAAAAGCAAGAAATAAGCAAGTGGGACTGCGTCCAACTAAAAAGAATCATCAACAAAATAAAAGGCAACCTACTGAATGAAAGAAAATATTTGCAAATCATATATCCAATAAGGGATTCGTAGTCGAAATATATGAAGAACTCATACAACTCAATAGCAAAAAAAAAAAGCCAATATGATTAAAAATGGGCAGAAGTTCTGAATACACATATTTTTTCAAAGAAGACATGCAGATGCCAAGAGGCACATGAAAAGATGCTCAACATCCCTAATCACTAGGGAAATGCAAATCAAAACACAATGAGATATCACCTCACACCTGTCAGAATGGCTAGTATCAAAACGACCAGAAATAACAAGTGTTGGCGAGGATGTGGAGAAAGGGGACCCCTCCTACACTGCTGGTGGGAATGCAAACTGGTGCAGCCACTGTGAAAAACAGTATGGAGGTTCCTCAAAAAATTAAAAATAGAGCTACCCTACGATCCAGCAATTCCACTTCTGATTGTTTACTATTTGAAAACTCTAATTTGAAAAGATGTGTGTGCAACAGTATTTACAATAGGCAAGACATGGAAGCAAGCTCAGTGGCCACTGTTGGATGAATGGGTAAAGAAGACATGATACAGGCGCGCCTCGGTGGTTAAGTGTCAACTCTTTTTTTAAAAAAAGATATTATTTACTTATTTTGACAGAGAGGGAGGGAGAGAGAGAGAGAGAGCACAAGCAGTCTGAGTGGGAGAAGCAGGCTTCCCGCTGAGCAGGGAGCCTGACTTGTGGCTCCATCCCAGGACCCTGAGATCATGACCTGAGCCAAAGGCAGACACTTAACTGACTGAGCCACCCAGGCGCCCTAAGCATCCAACTCTTGATTTCAGTTCGTGTCATGATTTCAGGGTTGTGAGATCGAGCCCCGCATCAGGCCACGAGCTCAGTGGGTAGCCTGCTAGGGAGTCTCTCTCTCTCTCTCTCCTTCTCCCTCTGCCCCTCCCCACCCCTAGCCTCCCTACTCCCACCCCTCACCCCTGTGTGCACCCTTTCTCTCTCTCTCTCCCTAATAAATAAATAAATCTTAAAAAAAAATAAAAGAAGATGTCATACAGGCTTGGGCAGACTCGGGGTAGATATTTTTGGCAAGAAGGCTTGGTGGATGGTGGTGTGTGTTTCCATCAGGAGCACATAACTTCTGGTTGTCTTCCTTCTAGTGATGTTAATAGCTAACAATGCTTCCAAATCCAAAATTATAATATTCAAAATCCACTATTTTTTCCTCATTTATCGGATGGAATACTTCTATAAAAGTGAAGTTTTCCCTGTTTATTATTGTTTTCACCTTGTGGTACAGTTAGTAAAGAGAAGGCAGGATAAATGCCTAATTCTTTCATGTGTTGTTTTCAAAAGCATGGCTTGGTTCTCCAGCATCCTCCAGTGGTGACCAATTAGATCTACTTTTGTTGTTGCTTTAATGCTATAGGGTTGGTGGCCTGATAAGAAAAGGGAGAGAGAGATCTCCTCTCTCCAAGCATGCACAAAGAAGAGGTCAGGTGAGCACATGGTGGGAAGGCAGCCACCTAAAAGCCCCAAGAAGAGGCATCCATATGAAATCCACCTGGCTGGCACCTTGATCTTTGACTTCCCGGCCTCCAGAACTGAGAGAAAACAAACTTCTGTTGTCTACGCAAAACCAAAGCCCTGAGCAAAGCCCAGAGAGAGTGTGGCTGCAGTTATGGTGGGGTGTGGGGTGCTAGAAGGGTGTGAACACTGTTCGGGGGCCTCCCATCCAACCCGGCTGAACCTTGCTTGGTGCGCTCGGGTACTTGGTGGACGGGCTGCAAGTCCCCAGGCTCAGGTCCTGCCTGCACCTCAGTGACCCTCCTGGTTTGCTCCGGGACCCTGGGTGGGCCCCTTCCTCTCTCTGGGCCTCACATCCCTGCTCCTGACACAAAGGGTGGAACTGATTATCTCTTGGGACTGTGCTCTGGCCAAAGGGTCATTCTTGATTACGCATCCATGAGAAGTGACAGAAAGTGTTTACTATCTGTTATCAGTCTTATGCTGGGAAACAAATTACCCCAAACTTAGCGGCTTAAGACGACATCAGTCTGTTGCCTGGAAGCTCTCTAGAGGTCAGAAGTCGGCGGGCTGTCTGCTCCAGGTCTCGCGAGAATGAAGTCAAGGGGCCAGCTGGACTGGGCTCTTGGGCGCGCAGGTCCTGGGGAGGAACCCACCTCCACGCTCATTCAGGTTGCTGGTAGAATTCATTTCTTTGTGGTCCCTGAGGTGCCCATTTCCTTGATGGGTATCAGCGGGGCTTCTCTGGCTCCTCTCCGGGGCCACCTGCTTGTCTTCTCACAGGGCATCCTGTGCCTTCAAAACAGCAACAACATTCAAGTCCTTCTCCCTCTTGGAACTCCTCTGCCTTTCTCTTCTGCTTGCTTCTAAGGGCTCCGGTGGTTACATTGAGTCGGCCAAGGAGTATCCAGGATGTTAGTAATGCAGGGTGATCTCCCTCTCTTAAGGTTGACTTTGACTACATCTGGGAGGTCCTTTTTGTCATGTGACCGACATATTCACAGGCAGGACACTGGGGGCAAAGGTGATGATGGAGGTTACTTAACACATCTGTGTTAGGATGTGCACTAGGCCGGTTTCTCCCGGGCACCATTTCTTCAGCAAACAGTTCCTGAGTGGGTCCGGGGACACTCTATCCGAGCCTCCAAGAGCAGCCCTGTCTTCTGGAAGCCCCCAGTCAGAAAGGATACAGATGGGAAGAACCAGGTGCCATGCCTGGGCCTGGCCTTTGGTCCAGGGCCCACTGGGGGCAGGTGTCTCATGCACTCAGTAAGAAGTTGGCCCAGCAAGGGTCCCAACCCTCCAGGTATTCCAGCCACTCTCAGTTTTCGCTTTATCTGGATCTCCCTGGTCAATGATTTACTTACTGCGTTCTTTCAGCACACTCACCGAGAAGCAATTTACATCCTGAAACATATACTGACAAAGTTGGGAGTTGCCTCGATAATGAAGTGTGGGGAGAGTCCGAGGAATAGAGAAATGACATTGGCCCCAGGCCAACGGTGGTTGATGGTGGCAGGTGGGACGGACATCAGGCACTCATCTCAGTTTCTGGTCTGAGTTTGGAAATGTCCATAATAAAAAGAGTTTTTAAAATGCATTTTTTTAAGGGAGATTTTTTTTCCTCATGAATGGAAAAACCACTCTCACTTGCCAAAAGAAATTATCAAAAAGTAAATATAATTAAAAGAAAACAAAGTGGTTCAATCCCAGCCAGGTACTGATGGGTGTTTTCTCCTTGTTAACAAGGAGATTAGCAAGTGTCAGAGTTTAAGGACAGGGCTCAGTGGGCTTTCTCCCTGGCATAAGTTTTTTGTTTTTTAAGATTTTATTTATTTATTTGAGAGGGAGAGAGAGAGCGCATGCACGAGCGAGGGTGAGGGGAGGAGAGGCAGAGGGAGAGGGAGAAGCAGGCTCCCCAGGGAGCAGGGAGCCCCATGCGGGACTCGATCCCATCACCCTGGGATCATGACCTGAGCAGAAGGCAGATGCTTAACTGACTGAGCCACCCGGGGGACCCTCACTAGCATAAATTTTTAAGAAGATTTATCGGTTTTTCTTAAATCTTTCTCAGTAAGCACAAAGCAGTAAGCAACTCAGTAAGTTGTCTTTAACGCGGGATCCATGCATCCCTAATAGCCCCTGGGGTCGGAGGAGCTCTGAGTCACCTTCTGAGGCTGCAGCGTCCCTGTCTGTGACTGTGGGTGTGCTGTCTGGGGGCAAAGGGGAGGGGCCAGGGAGTGAAGAGGGACAGCCCAGAGCAACTGGGAGAGCCCCCTTAGGCAAGAAAAGCTTGGGTTCTAAGTCTACCTTTGACACCTCTCCCCTTACCTGGGCACCTGACCTTCTTCTCTAAACTGCCCTCCCGCCACCCTTCGAGATTCGAGATCCCAAGCTCTGCTCACTCCCCCACCCTCAGCTGCAAGCTGACCCTGGGGAAGAGCCCTGGGCCCTCCACCTTCACTGAATGACCAGTAAAGACCTTTCTCCTCCCGTCCCACAACCTCCCCTCCCAGATCTAAGAAGAGACTGCAGGTGGCTTTGTCACCTACTTTTTTTTTTTTTTTTTTTTTTTTTTATTTATTTGTTTATTTATTTATTTACTTTATTAATTTTAGAGAAAGAGAGAGTGTGCGTGCGTGAACATGGGGAGGGGCAGACGGAGAGGGACAAACAGACTCCATGACAAGTACAGAGCCCAACGCAGGGCTCGATCCCACGACCCCAGGATCACAACCCGAGCTAAAATCCAGAGTCGGCCGCTTAACCAACTGAACCACCCAGGTGCCCTGCTTTGTCACCTTCTAAGTCTAAGGTATCCCGAGCCCTGAAGAGGCTAAATGGGAGGTACTCAGCCAAGGCATGACTTGGGGACTTAAACCCATGGGCCACATCACTGGAACTCAGACACCAGCTAAGCTGTGACAGTCTGGGTGAGGGTAAGAGGATATTGCCCCATTTTACAGGTGAGAACACTAAGGCTCATGTAGTTGGCCAAAGGCACACAGCTTTGCCAATGGCAGAGCAGGAGACAGGTAGGGCCCATTGCCCCTTGAATCAGTGCTCTGTTCGAGGTACGCCCCACCCCAGAAATGGGCCAGATGTCACCCGAGAGTCCTACCCCAGCAGGTAAGCAGTGGAAGGGCAAGAGCGCTCAGTCAGGGCTCTCTTCCAGGAGGCTGAGGGGCCACCCTGCTCCTGATCCACACATTTTTACACAGTGAGCACATGCCAACAAGGACTGTGAGCATTTTCAGATGAGGACGTTACGATTACAATCCTCTGAGCCATTTGTCATCTCTTGTTTACTCCTTTTATTGCCTAGCCCACGCCAGGCTGTATCACGGTAAATGTGATGTATCTGGCCTCTGGTTGGCCCCTCAGGAGGGAGAATTCTGGGAGGGAGGAGCCCGGGACCCAAGAAGACAAGAAGCAAGAAGGACCTCTCCTGGGCCAAGAGGCCTCTGGGCCTGAAGTCCCTCTTTCCAGAGCCAGGAAGACCCACTGTCTTTGCACCAAGAGGAGGGGGTGCTATTCATCCTCAGTGCTGGTCCTTGCCTGCCTGCCACATGTGCCCACCGGGGGGCTGCACTGGACATGAAGCCTAGAGTCACCCTCTCCCACCCGAGGGGCTGGGCCTCTGCGAGTCCTGGATGGGGAGCTCACCTGGACGCAGCCTTCACATGGGACCTCCCTCCTGCTCTCGGGGGCTCAGGGCTGAGGAGCCTGTGCCTTCAATGTCTGCCTCCAAAGGAGCTGAGTGGTGCTTCTCTCCCACTCCTGGAGCCACTGACACTGGCGTTTACATCATACATCTTGGCAACCAGACTGAGGCATTAGTTTTCAGGCTGTGACCGGGACCTAGAGCTGCCTCCCTGGCTCGGGTCGTTGTAAAAACAATTATTCCTTCTTTGATTTCAGCCTGAGAGCTGAGCTGATATTTGAAGATTCGAGAAATCAAATATTCATAGAAGCGACTGTATAATTCTTATTTGGAATATTAATTATGTGAAGGGACCGACAGAACCAATCCTTTCCTGTGAAGCCCCAACCAAGGAGCTGTCCCCAGTCTGGGCTAAAAGCCTCACACAAATAGACAAGGTCCCACCTGCAGCTGGAGCCCCAGGCAGGACCTGCTCCACGCAAAGTGCTTACAGTCTCAGCAGCACCAAAAAACCACTACTTTGAGTATGCCTAGGGCTTCACAATTTACAAACTGTCATGTTGGTACAGTTCTTTGAGCCCCCATCCCTAGCTGGCTCAGTCGGTGAAACATCTCCCTCAGCTCAGGTCATGATCTCAGGGTCCTGGGATTGAGTCCCCCATCGGGCTCCCTGCTCAGCCTGGAGCCTGCTTCTCCCTCTGCCTCTGCCCCTCCCCGCCTTGTGTGCAGGCTCTCTCTCTCAAGTAAATAAATAAATAGTCTTTAAAAAGAAATAAAATAAAGATCCATGTAGGAAATATGAACGCACCATTTATAAACGAAGCGGTAACCTCTGAAAGAGGACCGGTCTTGCTTAGACTCAGCTAAGAAGTGTAACGGGGAGGATTGACTCCCAGGCTAATGCTCTCCCCGTAAAACCCTCTTTACTTTGCAGAAAATCTCAACCTCCCTCCAGCCCCGAGGAGTAGACATTCTTCGACCCATTCTATAGATAAGAATCTGAAGTTAAGGAAGCTCTATTTTGTACACCTTTCCAAGTCCCCTGTAACGCTCATGCACCCAGCCTTCCACCCACTGGATGGTCCCGGCACCCCAGGCTCCTGGCCCATTTTTCCCGGGATCCGGGACCCACAGAGGTGGTGGCATTCACGTGTGTTCTTCAGTCGTTGTTGCTCTCCAGTCCAGTATTTAAAAAATAACACCCCCAAACCACAGAAAGCAAGGTTTTCTGCACCTTGGCTAATTTCCTGCTGACTCAGCCAGGCTGGGCAGGAGCCAACTGTGGTAACTTCCCTGGCCCTGTGTGAGAAATATTTATTGTTGAATAGTCCTCTGTTTAATAAAAGGCACCCGGGCCTTTCTACGGGGCAGAGAGGCTCAGACAAGTGTGGCTGTATTTCCCACGCCTGCCGCTTCTGGGCAGGATTATGTGGGTGGAGTTCTCTGCTCTTCTAGCAAGGCTTCTGTCTTCCCTCCTTCCCACCTGCGGCCTTGATTTACATAAGCCAGAGCCTCACTTCGGTCCCTTCCCCCTCATATGTGAACCAGGCAAATGACTTAATGCCTCTGCACCTCCGTTTACCCGTCTGCAAAATGGCTAGAATCAAATGCAAGTACTGATTGCATTGTAAACTGCCCACTTCTGATTCATCCTCAGATAGCTTCCCTGTTCAGGGCCCCAGGACTCCTCCCTAGAGGCCGATCCGTGGGTCTCTGCTGACTTGAAAGGAGGCTTTGAAATGCCAGAGTGCAAGCAAGAAATCGGCAAAGGACTTCAGGGCACTGGAAAGTACCTTGCTACTTAATAATGCACGAGGCTTTTTATGATGCTTATGTGAATAGCTTCTGTCTGCGGAGGCCGCGCTGAGAGAGCCACTTCCAGGAGGGAGCCCTTCACAATATACTGGAGTCCACATCCCAAAGACCAGAGACCAGGGGGGCTGATCATGTTTCAATTAGCTCGACGATTACAAAGCAGGAGATTGACGTGCCAGCCC